GGCCACCCAATTCCACCGGGGTATGCCTACATCAGCATTGATAGTATACTTGATAAGAAGTATAACAAGATACACATTGATTACCCCACACAGGAAGACATGTAACGCCTTGTTCAGAACAAGGGCGTTCATCTAGCCTAGCGCAAGCGCTTCATTAAGCTTGATCACCAGTTGTCCTTCGATGATGAGGACGACTATGAATCTTCACTACCAGAGATGATCACTCACCAACTCCCAATAGAGGAGATCACTCTGTCTTCCCTCCTCCCTTGCCATCACCCCCCGAGAAGATAGAAGTCTCTTCTCTTCTCCTCATCCTCCTCCATCTTCATTAGCCCCGACAAAAGAGAAGACTCCTCCTCCTCCTCCCTCTTCATCAGCCCCAAAAAACAAAATTCTTGTCATCCTCCTCCTCCTCCACCTCAGCCCAAAACAAGATCAAAGACATCCTCGCACTCGCAGAAAAGGTCCTCGGGTTTGGTCGCTAATGCTCCCAAAGTGGATGGACCAAAAAAGAAAAGGACGTTAAGTGGCAGTGTTACAAACTTGTACCAAAAAAAGCCAGAAAAATATAACAAGGAAAATGCTATTAGATTCTAGAATCTATTTGACTCACTGCCTAAGTGGAGGGTGCAGTCCAAATTCGATAGGCAAACACATAAAATGGACAATCAATTAAGAGTTGAAGAAATACACCATGAAGATAAAAGGAAAATAAACAAGATTTGCTGAAGACAACCTCGGATTAACCGTGGATGATGCCGCGAACATCTATTATGATTCAAAAGAGATGGCAAAACCGACAATCCAGTATCAAAGAGGCAATTTCTTGGTGGCCGACGACGAGTTTAAAAATTTGACAACATGTATGCATGATTTTGCATGAATATTATATGGCCGAAGCAACAGAGACGGACCAAATGGGTTTCAAAGTTATTATCCCCACCCTCTTGTTTTTTATTATCCTCTTGAAGAAAAGCACTTTGTCGGTTGAGAGTGCTTGTTTCAGCTATACCAGAGGCGCGATCTCGATACACAAATATTGACATTATGGACTATGTAAGTACCCTACACGCATGATATTATAATTAACTACTCTCTCGATACACCGATAGTTAACTTTTGAACATTTCCCATGATTTATGCAGATATGTAGCAAAATATTTCTTAAACAGAAAAAATGCTCATATAGCCTTCTTGGACCTCGAGCTAGTCAACGAGAAAACATGCGGAGGCATGCATGAAAATAAAGTGGAAGATCTAACGGTAACATTGGTTGCCATTTTGAAGCTTTCAAGATGAATAATAAAACCGAAATACTTCTAGCCTACAACTGCAAATATGTGTTCTCTGCTCTTATTTTTATACTTCTTTTTTTTAGTTACGATTATTCATTAATAACTAGGATTTTGTGATTGCAGCAACCATTTCGTCTTCATTGTTATCAATATTCGCAAAAATCGTATCGAGGTGTGGGACTCGAGGAAAAAGGAACTTTCTTTGCTCGATCCCCTAATCAAAGTGCAGAATGAGTAAGTCAACCTAATAACATATAATTTTGTAATCGCATATAGCACATTCTAATGTTGTCCCTTTTTCACACTTTATGATGTGGCATAGTATCTAGGGAAGAATGATCGGTGGGACGAAGGTCCCATTCTAAGTTGCACCAATACAATTGGAGACCCTAAACCAGCTGGCGGGAAACAATGAATGCGGGTTCTACGTAATGTGGGTAATGCTTCGCTACCTCAGCGTGAAATCGGAGCAGACAAATGCTTTGGTGTGTATAATCCCCATTTCATTTATATATATTAATTCAACAAAATGATCAATTATTATCTCTTACATTTGTTCATTTCGATATCATCTTTTTTGAATGACAGCGCAAGAAATTTAAACACCAAAGTCTGTTAGACATGGAGATCTTAGCACTATCATCAGAGCTAATAGCCTTCATTCTATCCTAGTGCTTGGAATTTAACGGAACATTCTCCATTGCATAGTCCATGAGGTACAAGGACCAGTACGGGACAGAGCGGCTCGCTAGACTATAGTAATTTTTTTTTTATTTTGAGGGATCGAGATCTTGATAAGTATATTTGAACTGTAACTGTAACATTTGTAATGTTTAATGTTGATGGACTTATCGTCTACGTAGCAAATATAAAACGAAACCCGATTCCATGAATAAAATAAAATAAATTATAAAACATTAAAATACGAAAAATATATCACAGTCGGTTAGCATAAAACCGATAGTGATGGTAAAGAGGGCACTGTCGGCTCGTGGCACGAGCCGGGAGTGTTGGCCGAGCCATCACTGTTGGCTTAACATACAAACCGGCAGTGTTGTCAGCCGGCAGTGATGGCTCGACCAACACAGCCGGCTTGAGCCATCAACCGACAGTGTTGGCTTAGCTCAACACTATCGGCTTGAGACACCAGCCAACAGTGTAGGTTTGCTCAACACTGTCGGCTTGAGCCAGGAACTGATACTCTTGCAGCAACTATCACTATCGATTGGGGATACAAACCATCAATATTGTTCAACTAGACACTGCCGGGCGAACCAGGAACCGACACCCTTGCTTGTAGATCAGTGTCGGTTTTTAGAACCGACAGTGATGTCAACCCCCATCACTGCCGGTATACCATTATCGGTTCAAAATCCAGTAGTGAAGGAATTTTTGAACCAACAGTGATGTGAAGATATGTGGTAGTGAATATTGAATAAGAACAAAGAACGGCAAGGAATAACATGGAACCTCTACCAACACATGTTCAAATGAACAGGCAACCATGGCCATGGCTATGACAAGTGCCGCGAACAACAGGACACTGGTGCGGTTCTTTCGGAGTGCCATGGTGACCAAGTAGTGATACAGAGGATGGAGAAGCTCTTACTGTATTCTTCTATTTGGATCTAGATGTGTGTTATGCGTTTGCTCCTCCTAGGGCCTAGGGTAAAATTATATATAGCATTACAACCAATACATGCCAGGCACAAAAAAAAAAACCAAATAAATATCTGGCTGCAGGAGCACTGCACTGGAGCAGAGATAGCCTGCTGGTTTGTGTTGCTTATGCTTAACTTCAAATCAGTCATTCGGCTCAAAGACGATCTCCCTATAAACTTGCTCCGATCAGCGCATCAATCATGCACCGTCCGGCCATGCATCCTTGTGACCGGAGGGACCGAGGGAGGGAGGCGGAGCAAGCCAGCCCTCCTGAATGCGGTCCGTGCCGGTGGTGCCGTGGTGCCGCTGCCGCGCCCGCGTCCGCGTCATCGCTTTGCGAACTGGAGCCGCCGGAGGGAGTAGGGACGGCGGGGCCGTTGCTGCATGCAAAGCGGTCAAGCGCGGCCTTTTGTTTTGCAGCAGGCGCGCCCCGGCACCAGTAGCACCAGCGGCCGCTTTATTTCTCTCGTTTCACCTCACCTCCCCTTTGCTTTCTTTTGCTGGCCCCTGTCCCCAGTGTCCCGTGTCCCAGCCAGCTCAGATCTGAATGGGCATTGGCAGGGTGACATGGAACCTGTCCCTTCCTTGCTTGCTCGCCTCCCTATCCTGCCCACTCAGATCACTCACCTTTAGCATCTATCTCTCTTTCTATGTGAGCTCAAGAATGCAGTCCTCCCTCCATTCTAAATTATAATTCGTTTGATTTTTTTATCCTAAATTTGACCGCCCGTCTTATTAAAAAAAATTATACAAACATAGTCAAATTTAAATCATTCCTGAAGAACGTTTGTTAATAAAGCAAGCCACAACAAAAGAAGTGATATTTTGCACAAAATTTTGAATAAAACGAGTGGTCAAACTTAGGGTTAAAAAAATCAAACGAACTATAATTTGAAACGGATTTAGTATCATTTTTCAGTTTTGGGTCTCAAAGTTATTCGTTGCTTCACCTAACGAGTAACCAATCTAGAGGATATTTGCAAGCTGTGGTTCAAGATGTCTGGTTTTTTTAAAAAAAAAATATACAGTACAAGACAATGCAGACGCTCACGATGCATGCTCACTCTCTCGTAAACCCTGTTTTCAGACTAACTAATATCGTTTTACCGTAAATGTGTTTCATCGTGACTGCGGCGGCCGTAGCTCCTAACAAAGCGACAATCCAGGAGAGCAGATCTCCCCGATCCATTTTGTTTTGTTGTGCTCTACACAATCATTACCGAAACTGATAGGGCCGGCTCGGCGGCTCCTGTACGTTGATGCAGACCGGAGTGCATTCCTCTTTTGCTGTCGGGCGCGACAACGCAATCATCATAACTCAAACAAACCTTATCCCTCCAAATACGCTCTTAACCGAACCAATAGCACAAACAAAAGATTTGGACCCACCAAAATACAAATACCAAAGGGACCATGCATGCATGTCCTTGGAGAATTTCAAAGCCAGAAGAAACTCCCTAGCACAGTGCAAGCCACTTGCGCCACACCCATCCCATCTCTTTTGCCATGGCTGCTTCCTCGCCTACAAAAAGCCTTCAACAGTTGCCTTCCCTCTCCTCCCAAAGTCCCAAAGAACAGCAAAAGGAAGGAGATGAGAGCGAGCGAGAGAATCACACTAGCTCCACTGAAAACCAGAGAGCAGAGCAGAGCAATGCACTAGCTAGCACAGAGTGCTACTGCGCTGCTCTAGAGTGAGTCTAGACACCCTTCACCCACACGCCATATATATCTCAAAAGACAAACCCCCTTCCATGGCCATGCCACAGCGAACGAACGAACATATTCCCCTCGATTGCCCCTGACACTATCTATCATCTTCCACCTCCCAGCTTCACTCTCAAGCCTCCACTCCATCTTCTTGTGAAGCTTCTCAAGATTCTCGCATGCCTTTACCCCTCCTCCTCGACTCTCTGCCCAGCTTACTAAACAACCTCCAATGCCAGCGTCAATGGCCGCAGTTCAGTTCCTCTAGCTAGTCTCCTGAACAGCAATTCACAAGCTCAGAGACGAACCCAAGAAACAATCGACGCACCCCGATCGATGAGGCCCTCGCCACCTCTGCTCCTGCTCGCGCTCCTGCATTTCGCGCTCCTGTCCACCAACGCCGCCGCCGATGGCAATGGGAACGGGAACGGGACCGGGAGCGGCGACCTGCGCGGCGACGCGATGGCGCTGCTCGCGCTCAAGGCTGCGCTGGGCTGCCGCCCGGGCGCGCTGCGGTCGTGGTCGGCGGCCAATGCCGGGTCCGTCTGCTCCTGGACGGGCGTCCGGTGCGGCGCGGCCGGGCGCGTGGTCGCCGTCGACATCGCCAACATGAACGTGTCGTCCAGCGGCGCGGCGCCCGTCTCGGTCCTGCTGACGGGGCTCGGCGCGCTCGAGTCCCTCTCGCTGGCCAGGAACGGCATCGTGGGCGCCGTCGCCATCGCGTCGCCGCTCCCGGCGCTGCGCCACGTCAACGTGTCTGGGAACCAGCTGAGCGGCGCGCTCGACCTCGACGGCGGCTGGGACTTCGCCTCGCTTCCCGCGCTCGAGGTGCTGGACGCCTACGACAACAACTTCTCGTCCCCGCTGCCGCTCGGCGTCGCGGTACTCCCGAGGCTCCGGTACCTGGACCTCGGCGGCAACTACTTCACGGGGGAGATCCCGTCGGCGTACGGCGCGATGCCCGCGGTGGAGTACCTGTCCCTCAACGGCAACAACCTGCAGGGCCGCATCCCGCCGGAGCTCGGCAACCTCACCACGCTCCGGGAGCTCTACCTGGGGTACTACAACGTGTTCGACGGCGGCATCCCGCCGGCGCTGGGGCGGCTGCGCAGCCTCACCGTGCTGGACGTCTCCAACTGCGGCCTCACGGGGCGGGTGCCCGCGGAGCTCGGCGCGCTCGCATCCCTCGACACGCTGTTCCTCCACACCAACCAGCTCTCCGGGCCCATCCCGCCGGAGCTCGGCAACATCACGTCACTCACCGCGCTGGACCTCTCCAACAACGCGCTCACCGGCGAGGTCCCTCGCTCGCTGGCGTCGCTCACCTCGCTCAGGCTGCTCAACCTGTTCCTGAACCGGCTCCACGGCCCCGTGCCCGACTTCATCGCCGCGCTGCCGCGCCTGGAGACGGTGCAGCTGTTCATGAACAACCTCACGGGCCGCGTCCCCGCGGGGCTCGGCGCCAGCGCGCCGCTCCGGCTCGTCGACCTGTCCTCGAACCGCCTCACCGGCGTCATCCCGGAGATGCTGTGCGCGTCGGGGCAGCTCCACAAGGCCATCCTCATGAACAATTTCCTCTTCGGGCCCATCCCGGGCTCGCTCGGCTCCTGCACGAGCCTCACCCGCGTCCGGCTCGGCCAGAACTACCTCAACGGCAGCATCCCCGCCGGGCTGCTGTACCTGCCGCGGCTCAGCCTGCTGGAGCTCCACAACAACCTGCTCTCCGGCGCCGTGCCGTCGAACCCGAGCGCGTCCGCCGCCAGTTCGTCTTCGCAGCTGGCGCAGCTCAACCTGTCCAACAACCTGCTGTCGGGCCCGCTACCGAGCACGCTGGCCAACCTCACCGCGCTGCAGACGCTGCTGGCGAGCAACAACCGGATCGGCGGCCCCGTGCCGGCGGAGCTCGGGGAGCTCCGGCGGCTCGTGAAGCTCGACCTCAGCGGCAATGAGCTGTCAGGCCCGATCCCAGGGGCGGCCGTCGGGCAGTGCGGCGAGCTCACGTACCTCGACCTCAGCAGGAACAACCTGTCCGGCGCGATCCCCGAGGCGATCGCGGGCATCCGGGTGCTGAACTACCTCAACCTGTCGCGGAACGCGCTGGAGGACGCGATCCCGGCGGCGATCGGCGCCATGAGCAGCCTCACGGCGGCGGACTTCTCGTACAACGACCTGTCCGGGCAGCTCCCGGACACGGGGCAGCTCGGGTACCTGAACGCGACGGCGTTCGCGGGCAACCCGAGGCTGTGCGGCCCGGTGGTGAGCCGACCGTGCAACTACACGGAAGGCGCCGGAGGCGGCGTCGCGGGGGGCGTGACGACGACGACGACGCGCCTCGGCGGGGAGCTGAAGCTGGTGCTGGCGTTGGGCCTGCTGGCCTGCTCCATGGTGTTCGCCGCGGCGGCCGTGCTCCGCGCGCGGTCGTTCCGCGTGGACGGCGGCGGCGGCGGGGAAGGCAGGTGGCGGTTCACGGCGTTCCACAAGGTGGACTTCGGCGTGGCGGAGGTGATCGAGTGCATGAAGGACGGCAACGTGGTGGGCCGCGGCGGCGCCGGCGTCGTGTACGCCGGGCGCACCCGGTCGGGCGGCGCGATCGCGGTGAAGCGCCTGCAGCAGTCCCAGCAGGGGCAGGGCGACGACCGCGGGTTCAAAGCTGAGGTCCGGACGCTGGGCAGCATCCGGCACCGGAACATCGTGCGCCTGCTGGCCTTCTGCACGAACCGCGACGCGAACGTGCTGGTGTACGAGTACATGGGCGGCGGCAGCCTCGGGGAGGTGCTCCACGGCAACGGCAAGAAGCGCGGCGCGTCCCTGGCGTGGGAGCGGCGGTACCGGATCGCGCTGGAGGCGGCGCGCGGGCTGTGCTACCTCCACCACGACTGCTCCCCCATGATCGTGCACCGCGACGTCAAGTCCAACAACATCCTCCTCGGCGACAACCTGGAGGCCCGCGTCGCGGACTTCGGCCTCGCCAAGTTCCTCTTCCGCCGCGGCTCCGGCGGCGCCACCGACGAGTGCATGTCCGCCGTCGCTGGATCCTACGGCTACATCGCCCCTGGTACGTACCATCTCCGTCCGTTTCTGCTCATAAATCAGACGGTTAGGATTTGATTTTGATTGATCGGTGAGTAGTATCTGCTATTCAACGTGTCAATGGTCAATCGGGACGCGACAGTGGCGCCTCAAGCGCTGTCTTGCCTCCGCGCCAACCGTACATACACGGTACTAGGACACGTATATATATATATATATATATAGAGAGAGAGAGAGAGACACACACGCGATGATTGAAGCATCATGAAATGGCGATATCTGGGGGTATGGCTCCCTGACACGCTGCGGCACACAAATTCGTAGGAGTACATTGCGCGGCAGCAGCCACGTCAGCACTGAGCCGTGGGCCCGGCATCGAAAGCGGCCAAAAAGAGGTCCTCTGGGCAGACTCGGCGACCCACCAAAAAGAGGTCCTCTGGGCAGACTCGGATCGCCCAATAATTCCCGGCGCGGGCCCCGGCCCCGGCCCCGGCCCCAGCGCCGATGGTGACTGGACGATGCGGGCGTGGGCCCGGTGGGCCTCCTCCGCGGCGTCGTCCGCCTTCGCCGTTCCCCATGCACCCAGGGCAGGGCAGTCCAGAGACCGCAGAGGAGCAGCATCGGGCTTGCCACCAAACTCCAAAGGCCATCAATGGCTGGAACGCATGCATGTCGTCCTGCACTGCATGCTCATGGTCATGGTGGTGCGGTCCAGAGGTCAGATGTCTGGTTGGCCACCCAGGGATTCGAAATTGGAGGTACGCATACGCTGTCACTCTCAGTACAACAGCTGAGACGACGAATCCAGTTGTTGGGGCGAAGAAGAACAGCACTCGCGTTTTTCCGGCTGGCCTTGGTCCCTTCCTTCCCGCTGCTGTATCTTTGACCGGCACGCAATAACCCAAGCGCAACCAAAAGGCGGCGGCGTCCGCATGGGGCTTCGCCAAAGCGGCGTGCTCCTGCCTCCTCCCTCCCTGCCCCATACATACATACGCCACTGTTAATGCGTGCAGTCACCAACTTTTTCTTTTCTTTTCTCTCTACTTTTTGGTAACAGTGGCATTCGCTTCAATACATACAGTGGTTTATTTTTGGGTTCATGCGTGCCCAAAGATACGATTTGGCTGGGATCGCCTTGGCCAGCATGGGCACGCGTAATAGACAAACATTAGCTTAAATAACCTGCTTATATTATATATACTACCAATACTAATCGTGCAACCTCTTTCTACGTACAATTTTCAGAGTACGCGTACACGCTGCGGGTGGACGAGAAGAGCGACGTGTACAGCTACGGGGTGGTGCTGCTGGAGCTCATCACGGGGCGCCGCCCCGTGGGGCCCGACTTCGGGGAAGGCGTGGACATCGTGCAGTGGGCCAAGCGCGCCACGGCAGGACGACGGGAGGCCGTGCCGGGGATCGCGGACCGCAGGCTTGTTGGCGCGCCCGCCGACGAGGTGGCGCACCTCTTCTTCGTCGCCATGCTCTGCGTGCAGGACAACAGCGTGGAGCGCCCCACCATGCGGGAGGTGGTGCAGATGCTCGCCGACGAGTTCCCGCGCCACGCGGCGTCGTCGTCCGCGCCGACGTCGCCGTCCACCTCAACCTCCTCGGCGGCGGTGGCGGCTCCGACACCGGGCGGGGAGGAGAGCAGCAGTCCCGACGGCGGCGGGAAGGAGCCGCCGCCGGCCAACTGCTACAAGCTGTTCCCGGACCTGCTGGCCTGATACACCTGTTTCTCGCCATTGTTACAGAAACACACGACGACTCATCATCAGGCAGGACTAAAGTTACAGCGTGCACTGTAGTGCAGATTGGAGCTAGACGTACGTTCTACACGTTGGTCGACCGACATTGGAGATGGTGTGACAAGAGCTGGGGATCAATAACATGTAACTTTATTAGTATATTTTTTTGTATCTTTCTTTTCTCTCTCTCTCTCTCTTTCCCCCAAATTCTTTTCTTTTCTTTTTGGTTCATTATCTAGCAATTCAAAGGTGTATAGGGTCCGATCATATGCTATCGCCTAGCTACTGGGGGTTTGTGCTGTCCAATGCATGCAACAATAGCATCCCTTCTATCATCATAGATTTCGCGCTTTGTAATCTCCTGGTAATCTTTAGCCACCATCCATTGCCCACTACAACTCTAGTACTAGCTCCTCACCTTACACTAATCCTTGTTTATGTCTAATGAGTACTCCCGGTACTTGTTCATGGTTTTTTGTATTATTTGAGCCATTTTTTGTCAGCAACAGGTGTGGTGATCATCTGTTGGAAGATTCTTGACTGGAGCTTTGGTTTCAGGGAAAGCAAAGCATGAAAGAGAAGTGCGAAAAAAGAGCGGTACTTGACAGTCTTTGAAAACATCTCACTTCCCAACGACGCTTAAAGCACACAAGCTAGACAGACAACTGAATCGCACAACTTTTATGGAAGCAGAGATAGGCTGAACCACTGAGAAAATTCAGAGGTTTGAACAGATGATATCCGTACGTATATGGACAGCAGCAACAACATGGTTTCAATCAGGACTTGCAGTGTCAGCATGCATGCAGATGCAGCTCGAGAATTCACACGAGAAAACCGGTTCGACCGTCGCGCTTATATGTGTAGCTTTAATCATGAAAGTTAAAGGAGAGATAGAAGCTGCAAGTTTTATAAGGGAGGGGAGACAGACACGAGATAAAGATGCTTACTGGAACACCTTGTACTTTGGTTAGTCATTTCACCAAACAGGATTGTCAGGATGATGGATTTCTAAGAAGCTATAATCGAAAGGAGTGCCAATTTAACTGTCACTTGACATGGCAAAAGCTCATGTAGCAATGAAAACGAAGAGAGAATATTTAGATTACCTCTGATATCACGGTCACCGGGAAAGCCGTAGCACCATAAACCAATCGAGAGGATTTACATAGAGCTGCCGCACTCAGGATTTCATATCAACTGTTTGTATTCCATCTCTCCTTCTCCTGTAGCTATATGCTGCTGTAGTTGGTCCTTGTTAGCCAATATTCTTGCTGTTGCGTTGTGTGCACCTCTGTTCTGTACTGTCAAATGATAGAGCTGGTCCAACTAGTATAGTATACATTTGGCCCCGTTCGCTTGTCTTAAAGTTTGGCTTGTTCGGCTTGTTTTTTCAGCCGGAACAGTATTTTTCTCTCACAACAATTCAGCCGGAACAGTGTTTTTCAGCCAGTTTCAGCCAAAGTTCAGACCAGCGATATGAAAACACAAAAGTATCATTAGCATTTTAATGGACAGTAACTCAGCATAAACATGTAGGAGATGTCACAATTATTTGTCAGAAAATTGAAGACAGTCAGAATTCAGATGGTGCAATTTCACTCAAGTGTTTGTCTGGACTCTGAACACAAGATCAGTTTAAACATCTACAAATACTGAAACCAGCAGGTGTTAAAATTTGAACATGCTGCTGTTTGACCAGCAATACTTTGTCTTTCCACAACCAAAAACAGTGAAGGTTACATGTTTCCCTTCTTATTACTTGTATCACTACAAGCTCACCTTAGTTGTGGTTCTCTAAGAAAATCCCATGGTCATGGGTAGTTAGCCACTTGCTTGTGCCACAGTGCTCGCCAACCAATGTCACGCCTGAAGAACCCTTCTGGCCAATCAATAGCATGTACTGCATTATATGCTCTTGCCATTGCTTCTTCGATGTCCTTGCCCTTGGCAGTGACACCAAGAACTCGACCTCCAACGGCGACAAGATTGCCATCTTCATCTAGTGCTGTCCCAGCATGGAATATCTTGACAGCTGGAGAGGCCTCCTCAGCCCTGTCTAGGTTTTTTATTACAGTCCCCTTCTTATAAGAGCCAGGGTACCCCTGGTTTGCCATTACAACCACCATTGCCATTTCAGGTGACCAGGTTAGTGAAACATTGCTTAATCCTCCCTGGCAAGCTGATAACAGAACTTGTGCCAAATCAGATTCTAATCGCATCATCAGAACCTATAATGACAGGAATACAAATTAGTAGAGAAAAGGACAATTGGAATATAACGGAAATAATATTTCACAGGTCAAGTACATAATTATGAGATGTATTAGACAAGCACAACGAAAGCAAAGGAAATTTTCTATAAAGATCATTGAACATTATAATCACAATGTAGCAATGCATTGGCATTTTTAGTTACACCAATAGCAATCTGAAGTGATGCTGAACTGCAATTGAGTTCCTATGTACTTAGATAACAGCTACTCCTGATACAAAAAACAATCATACTTTTTTCCTGACATGCTTTAAGATTTAATTTTGATAGGTAGTACTTTTGATCCCCTGTGTTTACAGTTCCAGTAGACTTAAGATTTGTTCTTATTTAGAGGTAAAATTATATTGGTTTGTTTCCTTAATTTCAGAAGTCAGTTCCTTAAGGGTCAACTTGCCCGATGTACTGTATCTCCTCTCATTAAGCAAGAATCATAGTTCCTACTTCCTAGTATTTCATCTGTCCCTGCCCTTCTGGTGCAGCTACCGGGCATCAGCATAGTCCCACTGTTGGGTTCAGGGCCATCTAAACTAAAAAAGGGCAGACCTAGTGCCGGAGGCTCCCACATGAGTGGGGTCTAGGGAAGGGATAAACCGAGACATGCCTTTCCCCCACAAAATCTGCGGAGAGGCTGCTTCGAACCCACGACCTGGTAACTCAGTGAGACAGCTCTCACCACTGCACCAGGCCTACCCTTCTAGGGGCCATCTAAACTGGCCAAACCAAATACTCAGCCTGTTCGGCAGGCCGTAAACGATCGTGGATTATTTACTGCTGGCTGGTTTGGTATGAGAGAAAAATATTGTTCCAGCTTATAATCCACGATCGTATACGAGCAAGCGAACAGGCTGACTATCATTGATGTATAAAAACAAAAATGGAACTTTTTACAGCAGATAGAGTAAAATATTGGAGTTTCCACAATTACATGAATTAGAGAAACTTTATAGTAGTTAATACTTTTTTCCCTCGAAAACTATGGTAGTTAATACTAATTAAACAAATAATATGGAACAGTATAATGGCTAGAAGATTAATCTTGAATAGGCAGATCTAGAAAAGGTATGTGTTGCAATTACTCACTGGGCTCTGCCATTATTGTTTTCGCTATACCTCGTATCTCCTTTTTTTAGATTGCACATCATATCTCTGATCACATAGGCTAACTCCACTATGCTATTGTGTAACACAGAAATGCAGAAATGATATATAGGGCTGCAGCCTATTCAGCTTCTCCACAGGAAGAAAATAGAGTGAGCGTTCGTTAAAGAAAAAAGAAAATAGAGTGAACTACTGGAGGCAGACCTAGAGAGCAAATCTCAGCACAAAAGTGCAGCACAACAATAGACTCTGTTGGAAAGGTATGCAAAATTCGTTGCATTCTGTTGTCCAATGAAAATGCCTTGATTATATTGCTGTCATGTAAACCAAAAACAAAATTGCAAAAATCAAATTTAGATATGTATATAAACTATAATGCATTGGTCCGTTAGATTGAAAGTCTATTAAACAATCAGATGATTTTATTCCAAAAGATCCTGGAAGCAGATGATCTCTTTCTTTCTTTTTTCATTCAGCCAGAGCTCTTTTAACATCCTTGTTTTGTGGCTGCAAATATTTAGTTTGATACTTTTTTTTGTCTGTACTACATTCTTGCTGGATGCATTCCAACACTCTACTATACAGTAGTTAAACTGCATGAACCTTTTGATTTGATCTTGTTTTTGACAATTAATATTGTGAAACTTCTTGCCCTGTAAACATACAGAAATGAATACTAGATTTTGAGATGGGTAACTAACCTGGCATTCTGGGTCACCAAATCTTACATTGTACTCAATAAGCTTAGGCAGCCCAGATTTCTTCTCAATCATAAGTCCAGCATATAATACACCAACAAACTTGCACCCTTCGGCTGCCATGCCTTTAACAGTAGGGATAATTATACTTTCCATGACTATGCGCTTGAGCTCATCTGTCACTATTGGTGCAGGGGAGTATGCACCCATACCGCCAGTATTTGGGCCAACATCACCATCACCAACTCTTTTGTGATCCTGTGCTGATTCAAGAGGCAAAGCATTTTCACCATCTACCAATGCAAAGAAAGATGCTTCTTCACCCTCTAGAAATTCTTCAATGATAACCCGTGAACCAGCAGAACCAAATGAGCCTTCAACCAACATAGAGTCTATGGCTTCAAATGCCTCATCCAAAGTCATCGCAACAACCACACCCTTTCCAGCGGCCAGTCCATCAACTTTAACAACAATAGGGGCTCCTTCTTGTTTGACATATTGTTTAGCTTCCACAGCATCCATGAATGTGCGATACTACAAGAGAGAACATAAGTGCTCACTGCTCAGACTAGCAAGGTTTGTATGGCTTAACATCTGAAATTATAAATACATACAAATGAATGAGCTGGCATTTCCTATTTTTGTATACTGACTTTGCATTTTCTCATTTTCGAGCAACAAAGTGACTTCAATTTCTGTGACTGTTTGATATGATTTTAGTATAAGAGCAGGGCTAGCAATTGTCTCAAAACAAAGGAAGTGTCTCTATGACAGTACCTAAAATGGTTTATTTGATTCATTTGTTAACCTGCAGATGCAGTCACCTATATGCAGGCATCTTTCATAAACAAAACCCTGTAGCCAGACCAAGGCTAGCCTATAGGGCTTAAGCTTAACAGTCAGCATAAATTGTAATAGGAAGTACCTTGGCTGTGGGGATATTGTACTTGTCACATAGCTTCTTCATGAAGTCCTTTGATCCTTCTAACGCTGCAGCCTCTGATGAAGGGCCAAAGGTTGGTATCCCAACTTTGACAAGGTCATTCACAAGACCCGCAACAAGTGGGGCTTCAGAACCCACTACAACCATTCCCACACCCCTCTTACGACAGAACGAGATAACATCAGCACTACTGGAGATGTCCAAATCTAAGATACAAGTTGCATCCCCGGACTGAGCAATACCCGCATTACCAGGGGCACATAAAACTGCACTGCAAGATGGGGAACGGTTCAAGGCATAACAAAGAGCATGCTCCCGGCCTCCACCACCAATGACCAATACAGTTATCCTCTCATCTGGGGAAAAGGCAATAAACAGGCGTCAAACCAGCTTGCTCTTGAGTTTTCATTTACATTAACACACTTCATTTCAGATTGCTGAGTTGAAGATAACAAAATAACAATAATCCAGTGTCTTATAGTATACCAGAAGAAGCAGTGCCCACTTCAGTTGCTGAAGCTTTCGAGTTCCTTGCTGAAGCCCTAACAATCAAGTGACGATGGGATGTGACATGCTGCATCACAACCGAAGAGCTGTCGCTGCTCCACCGCTGAGCAACGGGGTAAGACACCGAAGACTTCAAGCCAATGCACAAGTCATTATTGGCTGGCAAATCGGTGCGGTGCCTTGCAGCCAGCATGAGAGGGCCTCTGATACTGTAAGCAGCGCACGCCATGGCAGGGGAGGGACCAGCGCGGGGGCGCGGGAGCTCAGTTCAATCCCCCAATAATTCTGGAAAGCAAACTGCCCCGGCAGCTAGATTGCGCTGAAGCAACAACTCCTGTAGTCGCAACCAATGTCGATCTTGCGCGCTGCCTCTGAAGAAGAACCTAGTTGAATAATCCTCTGCGGTGGACGGATTGGATCGAGTTAGAAGGGCACCACGCAGCACAATAATCCTCGATTTGGTTTTGAGTGTGAAGAGAGCTACTGTAACAGCTAGCTGTCAGAGCAAGGGAATCTATCCAAGCTAAGCTAGGAACTAGGATTACTCACCAAGAACAGAAGAAACAAACGAACATCCTGACTAAGGAGGGTGACGCCGTGACGGCGATGGGGTCGGTGTTTGGTGAGGCAGGATCCGGCAGCGGCTGGTCGGGCAGGTGAGAGGCGGCGGCGGCGCGGCGGTGGTGGCGCAAGTTGAAGGCGGCTTCACTGCCTTGGCGATTCTGAGACCTCCTACCCAGTAATCCAGCCCAACGAAGCACGCGGAAAGGCCCAGGACGGCCCATCACTTAGGAGGCGGGCAGCCTGACACCTGGACGCGGCTCCCCAGGAGCAGGTCCAAATCAGACTGGGCATTCGGTTTAATCCGAAAATTCGGTTTGATTTGTTCGGTTTTAGTAAACTTCGGTTTCCAGCAATGAACACCCGATCGGTTATTTCAAAAATGCAAAACCGACGAGTTTGGTTTCAGTTTCCTAATTCGGCTTTTCGGTTAAAACTGAGATGATCGAAGTCTTCCTACTAACCTGCTCCGCTCCTCACTGATCTCACTCGAAGTCGCTCATGTGCCGCTCTTGCCACTGCGGCCGCAGCCGTGCAGCTCCTCTCCCTGCTCGCCGCGCCACTCGCCAGCTTCGGCGCTCGCAGCCGCCACTCGCTTGCTCCGGCATAGGGCACTCGTAGCCGCTGCACGCCCGCTTCGGCGCAGGGTGCTCGCAGCCGCTACAACGCCCACGCAGCTCGCTGCTCCACTCGAGCGCTCGTAGCTCATCGGCGAGTCGCTCCCCGCTTGCGTGGCCGTCGCACCGTCGCCGCTCTCTCCCGGTAGGGTTTGGGGCAAGTTCGCTCCTGGCCGCTCGCTCGCTTGGGTGTCTGTCTCGTCATGTCATCTCGCGTGGGGGCGGGGCCGAAGCGGTGGTCTGGTGGAGTGGCTGAGTGGGCCTGCTAATTGGGCCAAGGTGGGCTGCTGAGAGGACGGGGAGAGGGACACGGGTTGCTGAGAGGCAAGAGTTGACGAATGTTCGGTGTTCTCGGTTTACGGTTCTGTTTTACATAGGAACCGAACACCGAGCCGATGATCGATGTTTCTAAAACCAAAAACCGAAGCCGAACCGAAAAACCGAACTACCGATTATTCAGTTCGGTTCGGTTTCGGTTCGGTGTTCGGTTTTCGGTGAAAAAGCGCCCAGGGTGAGGTCCAAACCAAAAACAAATCTCCATCCCCTTGTGCTTATCCGTCCGTCCCTCACGAGCCCATACCCTACTTCTCAGTGCTTATCCGCCCGGTCCCAAAGTAGCGTGGCTACTTATCCGTTCGCCCCCTCTCCAGCGTGCGCTCATGCCGCTGACCCCACCATGGCCGCTAGGGACACATGTGTCGTGGCGCCTCAAGTCTTCCCTGGCCGAGCTAAGGGCACCCGTGAGCGTGGACGATGCTGGTGGTGCTCGCACACCGTGGCTCGCCACCAGCTCCCACCCCGACGCCCAGAATCGACTGCCCTTGCCCTCCCCCCCCTATGTTGCATACGTATGTGTTCAAGTGCAAGTGTTTCAGATGTTTCAGAGGTATGTTGTAATATTTCATCTTGATGTTATAAAAGTAGATTGTGGGATGTTGCGTATGTTGCAAGTGTTTCAGAGGCATGTTGCAAGAGTTTGTTCAAAATATTTCATCTGTTTACATACCTCTGTTGCAATCTTTTTTTATCTAGATGTTGCATATGTTTCACACATATGCTGCAAATGTTTCACCTGTTCCAGTCTTATGTTGCAGCAAGTGGTTTCATCATTGCAAATCTGGATGTTTCGTGTATTTCACACACATGTTGCAAGTTCGTGTTCCAAATGTTTCATCTACTTTCACGTGTGTTGCATTCAAATGTTTTTCATGTTGCAAGTGTTTTATTCTATACGGTGGGAGGCGAGTGGACTAGGCGTGCAGCGCACTGGGGGGGCGAACGGTGGTGGTGCGGTCAGGGCGCGCTCGTCCTTAGTTGCTCATCCCGGCTATTGAGTGTTGCCCACGCAAAAAGAGAGGAGGGGTTAGGGCGACTGGCGGGCACAGAGACGGGACGAAGTGTGCGCATGGGGCGGGGCGAAGGCGGACAAGGGTGGGCTACGCCGGTGTCCGGACGCTAGCCATGCCCGTGTTTATATCGCTATATAATAGGCAGACTTTAGTTGGATCAGCTATATTTGTGTCATTATTATATCTTCCTTGTTTCAACAAAGAACAAAGGATATATTTAGATCAGCTAGTCTAGTTATTAATTAGGGCTAAAAATTAGTTTAAATTATTTAGGATTGGTTAGCTAGTTGGCTAGTAACTAGTTGTAGGCTTGAATTAGTTGACTAAAAAATAACCTACCTACTAACCTTATTTAAATGATTAGTAAAATAAGGTTAACGTCCCACCTCTCCGAGGCTGGGCCCACTTACATCTGGTAGCTTAACTAGGATATAGACTGCCCTCACAGACCAACACTTGTCTTTTCTGCGCACTTTGTCCTCACTCGTGCACACCCAGGAAGAACTTCCCGGTCGGTCACCCATCGCTCCAGGCCAAGCACACTTAACCTTGGAGTTCTTAAGAGATGGGCTTCCAGAAAAAAAGTTGCAACTTGTTGGTACGAGTATCCTATTAATCCTATTAAGCCCTTAGCCGGGGTGTTACATCCTCACCCCCTTAAGAGATCGACGTCCTCGTCGATCAATCCCAAGCCAGGAACGTCCCCTCTTAGCCACGTCCGTGTGTCCAGTGCCAGCGCATGTGCCATGCTGTGTGACCACGTCGGATCCACACCAACCATGCACACCATGCCTGCGCAACTACGACACACGCGCCCGTGAAACCGTGAGAGTCGGCTCAATAAAAATATTGTCTTGCTTAACAACCGGAAAATAACTAGTTGTACGTTCGACTTAGTTGACTAAGAATATTGCCTTGCATAAGCTTAACAGTTATCTCTATGCACCTAAACAAATTCTTAGTATCTACTCCCGCATTCTGGAAAGCAATGACACTTCCAAATGCAACTTTTGCCTTCGGCTACACATGACATGCATCCGGTGGGCACTGCAGTGGAAGAGGAGAAAAGCAAAGACCACCTTGCAGTCAGGACTTGTAGCCACGTTCCCGGAACGAAACGAGAACGAAACGTAAAGCGATACTTTATAATACTTTTGTATTATGAAAACATAAACATTTCTGAAACGATTTTCTTGGACGAGAGGTTATACTTTTGCGGCTCCTAAGAATCAGCGGGGCAAGGGAAATCATCAATTAATTGAAAAAACTCACACATGGACGAGAAAATCGATGGTGATCGGGTTGGACTATTTGGTAGTACCTCGCCAACCAAACCGACCCCATACATATGCCAAATTTACTGGCATCCGCACTCAATATCTTTTGAAAATTTTATAAAATCATTGTTGCCAAACCGAACATTCAAATTAAACTTTGATTCCAACAATATGTTTTTTACAATAAATCTTTCAAAAGAAAACCTAACTTGAATATATTTAGATAAAATTTTGTTGGAGATCATGTTTCTGATGAAGATAGAACTTATTCTTTTTTTGTTAAGCAAGGCAATATTCTTGATTCAGTAAGCAATGTTCCACCTTCACAAGAAAATGTTCTATGTCCAGTATTTGAAAAATGAGAACATTTCATGTATGATGAGAACAGTTAAATAATGCCATAAAATAACTTCAAATACACCATAAAACATCTATGGCTACTGCACGAATAAGATCATGAATACATCAAAGAGTGCTATGAAATATGTAGAAAATAAAAATACAAATGGGAGAAAATACAAAATAAAAAAGAAAAGGAAAAATAACAAAATATGGAATGGAATAAAAAGGAAAATAGTGATAAAAAGAAATGTGTAAAGTAAAATTATAATATACCATGGAACATCTTATGGATATCGATTTATTGTGTGTGAATAGACAAAAATATATTACGAAACATCCGATGGATACTAGCTGTATATAACCCAAAATATACCATAAAATGCACAATCGAAAATATATGAACATCATATAGCAAAAACAAAGATATCTAAAAAAGTAAAAATGTCTTATATAATTTAAAATGGAGTACATAAACAACAAAAAATACACGAGCTAACATCTCACAAATACACCATGTATAGAAAGAAAGAACAATTTAAATAAAATAAATATAAAGGATGGAAAAAATAAAATAAAAATAAAACAAAAAAATAAAATCCACTTAAAAAGAAAATATAGATCAAGAAATAGAGAAAACAAAAGAAAAATAAAAGGAATTCTCGTATTGGGTTCACCGGAACTACAGGAATCTATTTATATCTTCTGTATTGATGTGGGGGTATAACCCTCGGTACCCACAGGGTTATACATGGGCCGAGCCGCTAGGGGAGGCCCAGTCCACAAGACCATGCATGGGTCACGCCAGCAGTCGAGGCCCAGTTGCAAGACGACGCCACGTTAAGTACGGCGCAGGTCAGCGTGCTTCGCAAGACTGCGTAAGGATCCTCAGTGATCTAGGAAATATGCTCGGATATGCTCGATTACCGTGATATCTGTAACTTCCTATCTTGTAAACTGATCAGGATAGAAACAACAGATCTATAACCCTACCCCTAGGCTATATAAGGCGGTAGGGACCCCCTTTGTTTTCATCTAATCATACGCAATACAATCCACAAAGACACATGACGTAGGGTATTACGT